ATGACACGCAGCAAAGGCCACAGTCGGATTCGAACGGGCCGCTGCAGCCAAGGACTCAACCGTCGGTACATGGGTCGCCAGCTCTTACCACTGAGCTAAACAGGCACCCAAGTTGTGTAAAATAACTGTTTCTCTATATAAATAAATATACAGTAACGATGTTTAAGGAGTCACTCCACATGTAGTAAGGTTCACATTCCTGCTAATGTTAAGAAAAAATATCACCAGGAATGTCCACACATTTAGTATATTTTTTGTAAAACAAAGACTATCAAAAAGGTTTCTACATTATTAGAACAGGTCATAATGCTCCATGTTTATAATGCATATAACTTCCTAGTATGGATGCTATCTTGTTTCACATAAACTAACAATGCATCCAAGGACTTTAAAACAAAGGAAATCAGCAATGATCATGTGTTGTATACACTGAAGGAAACACAAAAGTGTGTCTTAATCTGACGGGAATGGAACATTGAACCACTGAGCTAACCAGGCACCCAAGTTTGTGGTAAATTAACTGTTTTCTATATAAATAAATATACAGTACGATGTTTAAGGAGTCACTCCACATGTAGTAAGGTTCACATTCCTGCTAATGTTTAAGAAAAAGTCTGAAAAAGGCATATTCAAAGATCCCAGGAAATTGTCCCAACACCCTTTAGTATATTTTTTGTAAGACAAAAAAGACTTCAAACAGCTAAAAAGGTTTTCCTAAAAACATATTAGAAAAAACAGGCTCAATATAAATCAAACTGGCCTGCTCCATGTTTATAATGCATTTAGATTCTCCTTGTACTCCTAGTATAACATTCCTTGTAATGGATGCTATCTTGTTTCACATAAACTACGCAATGCATCGCAGGACTTTAGCGTTTGGACAAAGGGAAGAAATCAGCAGCAATAGATCAATATGAAATGGATATTGTTTCCCACTGGCAGGTTGTTTCTTGTAGGTGAACACAACAGTGTGTCTTAATCTAGACGGGAAAGTAGAAGTCTTTGGTCAACATTGAGACGATACAGGGGATCTGCTTCTTGCCGCTAAACCCTGGAAGGTTGGAGGAGGACTCAAACTGTTGCGACACATTGCGGTTGACTCGGGTCATGATCTGCATCAGCTCGAGCTCTTTGCTGTGATGCTGCAACATCGCACACAGCGCCTGCATGAACCAGGAACCGTTGCACACGTTTCTCCACGAGTAGTAGCCTGCGGGGAGAATTTACTGTGTAAATACCACGGAATAATACGATGGAGTATTAGGGCCAGACTAAGAGAATTTTTTTGGGGGGGGGAAATTACGAGAATAAAGTCATAATATTAGGTCTACGAGAATAAAGTCGTAATGTTACAAGAATAAAGTCGTAATAATACGAAAATAATGTAATAATAATACAAGAAAAAAAGTCGTTTAAATGAGAAAAAAGCAGCAGCCGCTGTTTGTCTCAGTC